AAGGTGCTTCGAATCGTTGGTCAGACAGTAACAGGAGATATTGTGGGAGAGAACAAACGAGATTCTAGAGGAGGAGGTCAGGAAGAAGCGGTGGAAATGGATAAGACACATTACAGAAAGCACCCAACTGCGTCAAAAAACGAGCCCTCACTCAGAACACCCAAGGTCAAAGGAAAAGAGGAAGGCCAAGAAACACAATTCGTCGAGATATAGGGAAAGATATGAGAGGAATGAACAAAAATTGGACAGAACTGGAAAGGGAAGCCCCGAACAGTGTAGGTTGGCGAACACTGGTCGGCGGCCTATGCTTCATTGGAGGTGACAGGCATAAGTATTTTTTTGTAGGACGCAGACTTTTCGTCTCAAGTTTACTAGTTGGATGTTTACACACCTTTAAGCCCGTATATTCTGTAGCCTACATTGAATATAAGAACAATATACCTAGATTATGTTCAAAAGTGTGTTACCTGGCCAGAATAAATGCTCGCAATATGTCAGTAGCCCCTTAAACCACAGTCAAGCGTTCGTGGAAAAGCTAAATCATGTCGAATAGCCCAAAACTAGTAACCTCTAGTTTCATCTAGAGGTGCATCATGAACTTTTTGTCCATGTGGTAGAATTATAGGCAGCTGGTAAATTATGGACATATGGGTTTCAAGGTCAAACTGATGAAGAGACCTTGACCAAAATAACCTTTTGACATCTGCTCGTCCTGTATTTGGTGACTTCAGCAAACAGCTGAATAATCTTTTCTAGTTTAGCAGCAGTAGGTTAAGCTATTCACAAGTGAACTCGTAGTAAAATTGATATTCAGACTTCCTGACATTACTAATATTATTGGGGGGTGCAGATACGCCCAGATGAAAAGTTTCAAAATGGAAGAAAGATGCGCCTCGCATTCCTCTGCTAGCCACAAAAACATGACATTCAGCCATTTACTTTGGAAGATTTGAGACAGATACAACCAACTGGTCTGTCATCACGTATAAAAAAATCCAGCGTAACTTCACGAGATATGCTGCGAACAATTAACTAGTTTTATTTCCAAAGGAAAGCTGACGAGATAGATTAGTTAGCTTTGCAATATTTTATTTGAAGATCCATCTCGGCAATAAAGTGAAGTACCTACTGTTTACAGTCAGATAGTCAAGTGATAAGCGTCGCAAACTAAATTTTATTTCCTTTCTTCCATTGTGGACATGCTAATTTATAAAGTGACTTACCGATAGCCATAGCAATACCCGTCGCTCGATGGAGAAAAGAGAATCTCATCACTAGTGGCGCAGAGTAAATCTGGAGATGAGGAGACCATGGTCTTCTTTCCTTCACATTTTTTTCCCAAAATGATTGCATTTCCTTTTCAGCTTGCTTACGAACTTGGTCACTTGAACTACCTTTAGCTGCTTTAGCTACACGTACAATTAACGGCTGCCGTAAAAATCCTACGGAAGCTTTTGACAGTGGTCCAAAAACTTCAGTACGACCGGCAAGGTTTCGCAAACAATATAACCTTAGAAAAAAATAGTGACAGAGGTTATATTTGAAAAAAGCAAACCTCATCATCATAAGTAACGTAAATCTTCTTCTAAGCGGTCACATAAGACCTTAACGGTTTCAATATCCAATATATTTTTCACGAGCTGGTATAAACATTTTCACTTCTTTGCGCTCGACTCTTGTTATTTCGGTACCATCCTAAGTCAAAATTTGAATATCCAATTCATCTTCAGTTTTTTTTGTAAGAAAAGAGAGCTGAAGTTGTATGTTAGTTATACTCTATCAAACTTCTGCTTCTATTCTTATCCCTAACAAAGCAATTAAATCTAATGACACCACTTCTTCTGGTACTTGGATCTGTGAGTTGATTATTCAGTGAGAAAATCTGCATGCTAGAATTATTTGGCAGGCCCCGGGCCTTTTAACTCACTTACCTCTTACTTTCAGTTGACCAGATCTACCTCCAATCTAAACTACTTTAGTTGTACTACATACGGTAGACCATTCATCTTCCGATTTGGGAAAACCGCTTTCTCTCGTCATCTTCTAAAGAGATCTGAATCGCCTATTAAACAGGGTTTTGAAGGCCTTACATTGTTTTGACTTGTGAGATAACCAGAGTCCTTTGGACTACTGTGAATATACTTCAATTCTTACTTACTTCACTTACTTACGCCTGTTACTCCCAATGGAGCATAGGCCGCCCTTCAGTTTTCTCCAGTCAACTCTGTCCTGGGCTTCCCTCTCCAGTTCTGTCCAATGTTTGTTCATTCCTCTCATTTCTTCCTCTATTTCTCGAAGTAATATGTTCCTTGGCCTTCCGCTTTCATCTTGCCCTGAGGGTTCCAAGTAAGGGCTTGTCTCGTAGCACAGTTAGGTGCTTTTCGTAGTGTGTGTCCTATCCACTTCCACCGCTTCTTCCTCATTTCCTCCTCCACTGGAATCTGGTTTGTTCTCTCCCACAGTTCCTTGTTGCTGATGGTGTATGGCCAACGAATCTGAAGTATTTTGCGTAGACAGCTGTTAATAAACACTTGTATCTTCCGGATGATGGCTTTGGTAGTTCTCCAAGTTTCCGCTACATACAGTAGAACTGTCTTGACATTTGTATTGAAAATCCTGATTTTGGTTTCGGTTGAAAGTTGTTTGGAGTTGCAGATATTTTTCAACTGTAGAAATGCAATCCTTGCTTTGCGAATCCGCGTCCTCACTTCTGCATCGGATCCACCTTGATTGTCGATGATGCTGCCTGGATGGATATGTAAAGGTGTTAACGTCATCTGAGGCGTGTCCATCAAGACTGATTTGGTTGGCGCATGTAGTGTTGTATCGCAGAATCTTGTTTATCCCTTTATGTATGTTGAACCTACTGCTGCTGCTGCTGAGGTTGCTGCTACACTGTTCGTCTTCTCTTGAATTTGTTGTTGTGTGTGCGACAGAAGAGCCAGGTGATCTGCGAAGTTCAGATCGTCCATCTGCATCTTGGCTGTCCACTGTTCACAGTGCTTCCCTCTAGATGTTGACATCTTCATAATCCAGTTGATCACCAGGAGAAGGAGAAAGGGTGAGAATTAGCAATGTTGCATGACACCGGTTTCACCTCAAATGAGTTTGTCAGCTGTCCTCCGTGTACGACCTTGCAGTTTAATCAATCATAAGAATTTTGTATGATGTTGACTATGTTCTCAGTCACGTCGTAGTGTCGAAGAAGCCTCCATAGTGGTGTCGTGTCCTAGCTATCAAATGCTTTTTCGAAGTCAATGAATTTGACATAGAGTGGTGTGTTCTATTCAAATGATTGTTCCACAATGATCCGTAATGTTGCATTTTGGTCAGTACACGATAGATCCTTACGAAATACAGCCTATTGATCTCGAAGTTGGACGTCCACGAAGTCCTTCATCCTGATTTTCACAATACCCTGTTGAATACTTTGTGTGTTATTGAGAGAAGAGTGATGCCTGTGTAGTTCTCACACTTGCTGAGAACGCCTTATTGTCGTAAGTCATCATTAGAGGGTGTAGAATCCTTTTTGAATGTTTTGTGTTTTGGAAAATCCCTCCATGTTTACATATTTTTGTTATGACATGACGGACCTTTTCTGTTGACATTTTTGGTATTTTATTTGATTCCAATTTGAGATTTTATCATTGTATATTGTTATTCTTTCTATATTTTGTACTTATATTGAAGTTTTTATGTTTGCTTCTGAACTGTACATATGTTGTTTAAATTTGATACAATATGGCTACCGCCACATTTTTGGATTCAACATCGTGCAGTATAGGAGTTCACCTAGACCTCGGAACATTGATACTCGTTCGGAGTAATTCTGAATTGGAAGACGTAATATTAGTTAGGTATTATTTGTATTTTCATTTGTCATTTGTAAATAGACCATTTTCCCCTAGAATTATTGTGTTTTAATTTCAAAATCGGGAAGTGCGTCCAACCTACATCTATTGGAATCGAATTGAACTGTCACGATGGAGAATTCAACTACAGTCTAACTAATATTGGAATTCAGTCCATTTACAGTCTGGAAATATCTCTATGAACGTTTATAGTCTGGAAATATCCCTAAGAACATTTATATTCTGGAAATATTCCTATGAACGTTTATATTCTGGAATTATCTATTAGCTTTTGATTAAAGACCAATTACAGTTGGATTATTAAGAATTATAAAGACACTTTTGGAAATTTAATCGTTTATCACACTGAACATTCTTCGAAGAAGAATTTTGGATTATTTATCATATTTTCGTATTCGAATTGTATCTTGGAGGACATCTTGGACATTTCTTCTTCAGCTGATCTGTGAAATTACTATATTTTGTATTTGTTATTTTTCTTATATTGAACTTCATTTATGATGTCAAGTCGAAAGAAATCAAACATGAGGAGGGTGGAAGAGCTCGACAGATCACAGAACTCTAAGCAAGTCGTTAATGATGAATTTTTTATGGGTAACCCACATGTTATGTCTGATACTTATTATTGTAAGTCACCTTTGGCAGGCATTAAGGAACCAGGATTAAGTGAGAGTTCTAAGGTACCAGAGACGCATCAGATACTTAAGACATCGATAGAGGGTTTAGAACTACCTAAGGTCGAACTTTCATATTTTGATGGAAAGTCTCGCGACTACTTTAGGTTTATGCGCCAAATCGAAACGTTTGTAGAACCCAGAATAAAAGATGACCAAGTTCGTTTATTGTATTTAATTCATTATTGTAAGGGAAAAGCAAAAAAATGCGATTGAAGGCTGTATTATTATGGATCCACAAGCAGGATATAAGAGAGCTAAGGCCATTCTAAAACAGCTCTTTGGACAGTCGCATGTAATAGCTCGAGAAACCTTAGAGGACTTATTTAGAACTGGGAACGCAGATTTTAATGATCCTGAATTATTGACGAATTTGGCTATTAAAATGCAGAATGCTGCTTTAACCTTAGAACAGCTAAATTGCACAACGGAACTTAATTCCATGGTTACTTTAGAACGAATAGTCAGGCTCTTACCTCGTCGAATGCAAGCCCAGTGGGCAGAGCCAAATAAGGCGCGAACTCTGAAAGTGGTAACTTTTTTTCACGTGGTATAGTGTTTTTCTGAAATTTATCATTCGTAGGGTATTACACTGATTTAGTAGAATTTATCTATTGTACCCGGTGCACTTTGCTTCTAGAAAGCAAACCTCCTAAGTTTTTAATCAGTTAATACATGCTTATCGTTTGATAACGATTTTAACTTCTGAATACACTAGTTTAAGCCTACTTACAGTGACTCTTGCACTTCATAACTGAACCTCTTATCTAATAAATCCGCCACTGATTTTTGGTATTAACACAGTTAATACACAATAAGTTATACCCTTAGATATTTGAGTCACTTAGACAAGCAATCATCCCACCTAATTTTCCATTATGACAAATAATTCGAGTAAAAGAGAAATGTCTCCAAACACCTTGCCTGCTTACCAACTTATCGCTTTACTCATTAATTTTTAACATTATTTCAACTCTTTATTTTTCACTTTCTCCTCGTTCCAGCTCCCTGTCCTTCCTATTTCCAAACTACCCATTAACTGACTCATCTTACAAATTATACCATTCGTTTACTTAAAATCAGTGTGATATGCTATGTGGATATATTATCTGGCAAAGTTGTCTGGATTGCTTGTAATGTTGGAGCTAGTAGAGAATGTTAATTCCGATAAGGTGTACAAAAAAAAAATTGAGAGTAGACTAGAGACCATTATTTACAATTAACCATTAAACGTAAGAGAGCCTAACATCACAAAAGGAGGGAGGGTGGTGTATCTGACCAGCATTCATGACGGTGGGGCGATAACCTCAATCTACCCATGTCTGTGTGGCAGAACATTTTGTTTGCTTACGGCTCCTTACGATATAGCAGGATGTAACAAATCAGTGATATTGATGTTACTTTTCCTAGTTAACCTCGTCTACAACCCATGTCTGTAACCTTGCGCTGGTTTTTACTTCCTACCGAGAAATCCTATTACAAGCTGGTCTGGACAACTATACTAAAAAAGAGCTCATTCATAACTTCTTGAGCCTCAGATTTAAAAATAAAAAGAATAAATAAAACAAAAAATTATATCACTGATCCTCTTTATTATATTTTGTAAATCAACTTTATTACTAACAACTTGGTTCTTCTGAATTTCCTCTATTCTTTCAACTAACTTCTCATTAGTTATCTCACTACTGAATTGTCTTCATTAACCTACATAAGTGCAGGTGTTTAGTTTTTGTTATGATATTAAAAAAGTCTGAGTAAATATACCTTTGTTTTATCCATAAACGTATGTGCAAAGCCGTTGTTCGGCTTTGAACAAGAATATTTTCTGTTCCGCTCCTCGTCCCGTTTTCTTTATTCCTCTTTTTTCAGAACCTTATTCCAATCCACTTATATTTGTCTGGATATTTGCAGTAGACTTGGTTACCCTAGCCAAGAACATGTGAAATCATTAGCTGACGAATATC